GGAGGCGGCGGGGATGGTGGAGGAAGTGGAGGCGGCGGATGTGGTGGAGGTGGCGTCCAGGCCGGACTTGTAACAGAGCGGCCGCATCCGTCGCCTGTGACGCGTGACCCGATAACCCCAAAGGGTGGACGGCGTCGGGCCACGAAGCCTCCGGAACGAGCGCTTGCGAATGGCTGGATTCGGAAGGAACAACCGCCGCCGCTTCTCTTGGGTGCGAGATTGCCTATATCTGAATGGGGGCTTCTCTTAACGGCTCTAGCTATCCAGACGAGTGCGACGGTTAGCAAGGGTTTCGTCTGGCTTGACCCCCTCGCTTAGAAATACCAGTTCATTCTGCACGAGGAGGTAGTATTCTTGTATTCTGCATTGTATTCTGTATTCTGCACGTGACTCTTATACAAGGTAGTAGTAGTTGTATCTTCTTTCGTAAGGAAGTAGAAATTATGCTTTATCATTTCAAAGCGGAGATATTTCTTTTGCATTAATTGTATTTTCTTGCAAGACGATTCTGACAAGACAAGCTCAGGATTTTTTAGGGGGGTTGTGGGAAAAATGGAAGCTTTTTTTAATTCTTAGCTACTGGTAAATGTCTAAAACCTAAATTAATAATTTTCAATGTGCCCACAAATTGAAAGACAACTATGCAGCCTGCGGTCATTAGATAAAAGTTTATGCTTTCTTTCGATATCTAGAACACGAAAAAAACAAGGAAACAGTTTCTTTTTACAGAAAATGCAAATATTTGAAGTTAATCTGCAATTCCCCATACTGGCATTAAAAAAATTGATCCCGTAATTGCCTCTTGTCTGTAACTTGATCTAATGCCCGCATTAATTTATTGTTCTACATAAAAGCATATCTTTCTGCCAGTACAGAAATGATGAGAATACTCAAGAAATAGAAAAAGAATTGACCAACCACTGTAGATATTGTTCGAAATATAATAATTTCTACGTATCTTTAGAAATTATAACTTTTTAATCATTTATTACCTATTTATCTTTATCATTACTTGACTTACTACATTAGCTGAAAAGTTAACGTTCGCTCCTTAAACATTTTGTTAAGTTTGTTAAAAGTTAATGAACGCATTTGAAGAATATGTAATTTTTTTATCCTTAACATGGATTTACATTTTGATGTCTAACTATAAAAAACTTTGAAAATACATTAAATATAAAATGCACTTTTAAAACGAACTTTTCAGATAATGTTATGAGAAAACGTCAGTGAAAATCAGTTTAAAAAAATTAAGACTAACTATCTTCAAATATTTTCTTAGGTCTACAAACGCGTTCGTAAAATGAAGAGAATATAGTTCAAAACAAGTGGACGCAATTAACTCTACGTGCGTCAAAATCGTTACGAATCTGGAATAAATCGCACCGACACGGAACACAATAGCAAAGTCTAATGCGCCTCCGAGGGGGATGCAGTGGTTCCGCATGAGAACAATTTAAGGTCATCATCCAAAATTAATGAATCGTGCTAGTTGCACTCTATTACGGACGGTAAATCTCCCTTAATGGTAGTGGAGACTATGGCTCGCCGTCAAAGCACCTCTTATAACGTAATCACTCATTCGTGATCGACACTCGGGTGTAATGAAGTGCGGCAATTGCTTTAGCGGCACTTACTAGCACGCTCTGGAGAGGGAAATTATTCAATGTTGTCATTGGTGTAGTTACCAATGCGAGTGTCGGGAGGCACAGAAAGAAAAGTGGCGAGCTTCCCGCGTGACTTGGGACGCCTCCAGTTGGCCGAAGGAGACCGATGTTCGTCGATTTCTCGCTGCGGGAGCTGTCAAACGGCTTTTCTTTCGCTCGACGTCGTTTAGAGAGCGTTGACAGAGAGACAAGTACGGCAGTCATCGGGGAGCAAGGAACGGTGGGGTAAAGTCGGAAGAGAAGGATTGCTACGAGAGATGTAGAGTAATGTGGAGAGTTATGTGGAAATCATTTTTGGAATCATATACAGATGGCAACGGAAAGAAAAGCTTTGGCACTCATACACGCAGGAGCAAATCTTCAAATTCGGTTCGAGAAATACGAGTTAATGTTTACTGTTCACCCACTATTTAGGGAGTATTTTCGTTATTTCTGAAGAGGAGAATAATATGCATTTCTTCTACCTCTTCTTCTTCTTTTCTTCTTCTTCTACTTCTTCATCTTATTTTCCTTCTTTTCGTCCTTTTTCCTTATTCCTTGTAACTTTCATATTTTGACTTGCAGCGATTATATTGAACACGAGTTATAATATTTTAAATTATCACTAATAGAATACACCTCACACGGAGAGTAGTTCTGAACTAGAGCTAAAACGAAGATCATAATGAAAAATGTCTATACTTATATTTGTTGGTTTGTAATAACTCCGCACCTATAACGTAGAATACGAAGAATTAGAAGCACCTGACCACGTTTCCCACCTTACGTAATGACAATAATAAAACACTATTTGAAGTTCTCAATGATTTTCGATAAGGTGATTTCGTAAGCGTGATGCCGTACTAACAGGATTATAGAGTGTGCAATTTTGGTAAAGACACCATTAACACATTTTTTAAGGAACAGTGACCAGAAGAGTCGGGATTCTATAAACATTGGTTCGTTTAAAAATAAATTTTATATTTACTTGGGATTTTGTCACTTTTATACTTGCATCACCAACATAAACAATTGCCACAATTATTTCATTGAACGTAGGCGTTACGTATTTTCCAACTTTCCTTTTTACACAATTTCAATATCATACATGTCACACTTATTAACTAGCATCTATCTCCCACCATTTCCGTGCCAAACGCCGTCGTTTTTGCTTTTCCCCATTTCAATGCGCCACGCAGAAGCCAAGAGCCGCGCTCCGGGCCGAGGTGTG